TTTGGGACTAAATTACTTTGTTCTTAAAAGTGTATTTATTAGTATTAGCAAAAAATCCTTTATTTGACTTTTTAGGACAATCTTTTGGCGAGCATCCTCACAACGATAGAATTGGTCTCCAAATATTTTTCGTACCAAAATTTTCACTCTTGGAGACACAAAAATTTGATCCTTAAAACTTTTATTTATTGTAGTGTAATAATCCCCTAGTATAGGATTGTGAATGTCAACCCCTCCCTCAGTATTGAGTATCTCACATTTTTGTGGGATTAACAATCCATTGAATATCTAATTCAAACAGAAAATTGCAATCAAGTGTTGATATTTGAGTTCTAAGAAATTGTAATCTCAGTCATATGTTTTAGTCCAATCAATTAAATAGGCCCAAATAGTAGTTAGAATAGGACATCATATAAGATAAAATGAGAAAATTATCAATCCTATGATATTAAGCATAGGATTGCTTCCTCTTTTGGAATTTTTTTTTTTTTTTTTTCCATTTTGGTCTACAGTTTAGAATAATCTTGCACTCAAATGCACTTAAAATAAGTGTTTTAATGAGTTATGGATTTTAATCAAGCAAATTATTAAAATAATTCAATTTTATTTATTTATTCCTTGAGGGAGTAGGGGACTAGGAATGAGTTTGTTGAACTGTGTTATATATTTTGTCCCACAAGAGTCTTCAATGGTTACTATAAACTAGTTAGTCTTGCAATAGTAAAGATATGCACAAAATTTGTGTACACAAAAATATTCAACAAAAACATGAATGGTACAAATTTAATCCACATATTGTACTAGGATTTTACATTTAGAATAAATATTGACCAAACAATTCCCTCGGTTTGATTTCTATTTCTAGAATTCACTTTTTAGAAAATTCTATTTTTTTATTTTTTATTTTTTATTTTTTTTTCACTGAATTTTTTAAATATCTTAAGCAATTTTTAAAATTTTTAGACACACCTAATATAAATACACTTAAAAAGTATAATATTTATGAAAAAATATTTTAAAAATTTATTAAATACCAAAAATATAAATAAAAAAAAACATAAAAATTCAGTATATTTTTCATATTTTTGTGTATTTATTAATTTCTTAAAATATTTTTGCACAAACATTTCACTATTTAGATATATCTAAGTAAGACGCATCTAAAAAAAAAAAAAATTGTTCAAAATTTTAAAAATACTCATTAAAAATTAAATATACATATAAAAAATTAAAAATTAAATTCAAAAAATTAAAATCAAACATACTGATTAATTTTCTGAGCATACTTTTGTGTTTTAATATTGTGTGTGCATCATTGCTTTAAGCATAGTTGGTCAAAGTCAGCAGCCATGTGATCATTAATGACAACCATGGCTAAAATTTCTTTGGCTGGTAATTTGGCATTTTTAGTGATTTTTTATTTTTTTATGAGATAAAAAAATTAGTATTTGAAATGATTTAATTAGTTAAATACATAATTATGAGAAAAAAATAATTAATTAATATATATAATATGATATTTTGATTTTTTTTATGAGTTTTTAACTATTTTCGTTAAAAAAATGACTGTCAAACAGGACTTAGTCAACACTTTGGTTTCTGTCTCTATCCAACCAAATATCCCGTTAGTTTGTGAGGAAGGAAGATTTTGTTTGACTAAAAGGAATTAAAACTCTAGGCTTGGTACTATGGAGAAATACTACAAATTAATAATTAAAAAAAGTTAACAACTATTATATATTATCAAAAATGTTTAAGACTCCATTTCCCTTCACCCTCTTTGACCTCTTCTCTTTTTTGATTGGCTACTTTTTTTTTTGCTTTTTTTTGTTTTCCTTCTCCTCCAATCACCACCCGCCACGTGTGTGTAGGGGTTGTGGGGGTGGTGATTTGAGGGGGTCTCTATCAATGCTGTATATATTATGCAATAATGAAATTTGAAAATATAATTTATTTCAATAATATGTCAAGTGTTACATAAGAGCATCTTCAATGAACTTTTTAAAGGGGTATATTGGTTCATAATTAGTCTCATTCTATTTTACTTCTTTTAACAGACAAGGATGAAAATAAGATTCTAACTTAGTGGGGCGAATATATGTGATAACAAAATTTTTTAAATGAAAGTATAGAGCATAATATTAATTTCTATCAACATAAAAAAGTAAAAGATAAGCATATTTTCATGTATCCATATTGAGTTACAAAAAATAGTATTTGAAAAATTATCTATTTGCTGAAGTGAGACATTTTGAATTGTACTTGACACTTCTTCATGTCATTAAATGCATCTATGATAAATTCAACACTAAAACCTCAAACAATGTATTTCTCAATGACTGTGAAATCATCCACCATTCTATTAGGCAATTTAGTCTTCACAATTTTCATAACAGAAAATGTTTGCTCTGCTGTAGCGATTGAAACTGGTAAAGTCAATACAAGGCAAAACAACCTATCAATAAGAGGATACATTATTGACTTTCCTATTTTCACCAATGCTAGACACAACTCATAAATTGTTGACAATTTTTGGAACTCAATATGCCTAGAAACATCAATCTTATAATTTTGACCCTTACATTTCATAGATATAAATAATTGCACTTATTTTTTAAAAACCCAAGGGGGCAAATTTGTATAATTTTAAAATAAGCAATAGAAATAGTAGTATAACAAGCGAGTTTTTCGAAATCATAAGGGGGGTGATCGCCCCCTTGTCCCGCTTATGTTTATCCTTTCTAACAGGCTAACTACAACATTAGTTATTTTAACAAAAACAATTTCAAGTTTTTTATATTTGGAGAGTCTTAGGAGGCTCTTTACATCGTTTGTGTGGATAGATAAGTAAAATAAAGAGTATGTTAGAGCACTTAGACGAAAAGGCAATTAAGTAAAATAAAGAACATTCATTTTTTATACTTTATTTAGTAAAAAATAAATAATAACATTGGAGTTACTCTAAATAAGTAAATTAATAATTAAATTAGTCAAAATATGTGCAAATTAGCATAGACATCTGTCCAATTCATAATACATGTTACAATTTTGGACATAAAATGGTCAATGCAGGCCTCATGTGACCATTTTGCAAGGCAAATTGAGAAAGTCACCTTTTGTTCGGTTTGTTTTTGTTTTTGTTTTTAGTGATTTTTTTTTTTAAAGAAAGGCAAATTTAATTTTTTATGGTATGGCTTGATAGCATTTTACTCTCTATTTTTTAAAATAGTCATATGTCCCCATGTGATTTTAGACTAAAATGTAACTATTAACACCATTAACTATAGATGTAAGATGATTATAATACTCTCAAATTATATATTATTTGTCATTTTCTTTCTCTCTCATCTCTCATACACGTAATTTCTAATTTCTAATATTAATTCAGTTAAATCATAATTGATCATAAATTCTTAAATATTATTGTAATTATTAAATTTTTATTCTAATTCTAATTTAATTATATTTTAGATCACAATTAATCATAAATATTTAACTATTTGATGTAATTACTAACTTCTTAATCTAATTTTAATTTAATTATATTTTAGATCATAAATAATCCTAAATTCTTAATTATATATTATAATTTCTAGCATGTTAATCTAATTTTAATTTAATTACATTTTAGATCAATTCTTAATTATTGTTTATTTTGCATTTTATTTAATTATGTTTTATATTTTAGATCAATTCTTAATTATATTTTAATTAACATATTAATTTAATTTTAGGTTCAGAGAAAATAAGGGTAAAATTTTCTTTTTGTTATATTAATTTAATTCTAATTTTTCAGAGAACAAAACTCACTCTCAAAAATTGGTGTGTGTAATACACATTTCATTAGTTTTGATAGAAAAACTAACAGTAGCACTTTAGTCTAAAATCATATGAGGACTTTCTGTTTATATTTGAACGATAGGGAGGTAAAATGCTCTAGCCCCAAACCACAAGGAGGTAAAATGAATTTAACATTTTTAAAAATTTTGTCAAAATATGTCTTTTTCAAACTGTCTTGTATATTGAAGAATTTAAAAAGTAAATTTTCTTCTTTTTTTTTTTTTGAAAAAAAAATTAAATAAGCCAAAAAAAAATATCATTATTTTTGGCTTATTTTTGCCTTTATTGATTTTTTTTTAAATTTGAAGTTTTTCAATTCGTCTCATTGCGTTGAATCTTGAAACCTAAATTTTTTTTAAAAAAAATTAAAAAATTCACTAAAGAATAAAATAACTCCAAAAAAAAAAAAAGTCATCAAATAAGCAAACACCAAACACCCCCTCTGGCCAGATGCACTTGCTCAATTTAAAGGGAAATTAGTGTTTAAGTTGAATGTAAATCAAACTGTGATTGCCTATAAAAATTGAGGAGTTTCACGCAAATCAATTGTAATCGGAAGCATAATTAGCAAAATCAAAAGAAATATTAGGATTTGTGTCACACACCAAAAATTCAAGGGTGATATATATTTTCTAAAAAAATTAAAAATTTAAAAAAAAAAATTTGTTTTTTTTGAGCATCTGATATAATTGGAACCAAATCCACGGACAATAACTATAAGCAACATATGACGAGCTTAAGAAACACTTCCATAAGTCTATCTCGACACAAAAACCACAACACTCACATTATAACTAGTAGTATTTGTAACGATAATGCTACGTAGCTCAAATTTTGTGGCTCAAAAGTGGCTCAAATGGCCAAAACGACATCGTTTTGAGTACAGAACAACATAAAAATGGCCAAAACGACATCGTTTTGGCCATTTGAGCCACTTTTGAGTCACAAAATTTGAATTACCAGACATTTTCCTATTTGTAATATGATAAAGGGAAGTGATTGAGACCCCCTTTAATCACTACCCCCACCACCCCACATACACGTGGCGGGTGGTGATTAGAGGAGAAGGAAAAAAGAAAAAAAAAAAAAGAAAAACTGACCAATGAGAGAGAGAGGGGGTTAAAAAGGATGCCTCCTTACAGGGGTCCAACTCATTTTCCTATGATAAATTATAAAGTGTAGATTACATGACATAGGGATCAAAGTTAATGAAAGCTAGTTATTGATCAAAGTCCAAACTCCAAAATACAAAAAATATAAAAACAAAGAAGAGATTGTAATCTCATTATTATTTTCAAACATGCATATATATATGTATATATATATATAAGAAGGGTGCAATGTTGTTCTTAGCAGATATGTGAGGTTCCATCACAGTAGTAAATGGTGCAACCCTTCCCAGCAAAGCAACAGTTGCATGCCGGACTGAGCCGCTTCTCACCGGATGACTTGCATTTCATGTAGTCTGCTTTTCTGCAATCTTCAGGGCAAAATTTAGCATTCGCCAACTCCGGCTTCTCCCCCAACAAAAACACCCCTGTTTTTTTATTATATATGTCCAAAAAAAAAAAAAAAAAAAAAGAAGCCCTTTTTGTTAGTCAACAATCCATGAACAAATGGGAAGGCAGATAAAAAGATTCATGTAGTTGAGTTTAGTTTGAGTGCAACACTATCTTAGATTTGTTGGTGTAATAAATAAAATAAGTAAATAATGAAGTAAAAATAAATAAATAAGAAAAAGAAGAGGATGTGCATGGCATACCACACACAAGAAGCACAAACAGAACACCAACCCTGTTACTGTTAGCTGCCATTCCTACCTTTGTTTGGACTTTAGAGGAGGTATTGGGTTGGTGTCATTATTTATAGCAAAACAAAGTATTTAAAATGCCTTATCGTTTACAAATAACTACATAGTTTGTACAGTGAAGTTAGGGCTGTCAATGAATCGGATTTAATCTGAATCTAACCCAAATCTGACCCGAAAAGCTGAATCCATTTACAAAAAAATCGGATCCGGTAATCCAATAATCTGAATCCATTTAATCCGTTTATTAAACGGATCGAATATGCAAAAATCCGATCGAATCCGATAATCTGATCTGGTTATTCTCAATTTGAAAGAAAAAAACAAAGTGAAAAAAAAAATCAAATTATATAAAATTTTAACTCAATAAATAAATCGGATAGGATATCCGAAATCATCGGATTGGATCCAGGTGATCTATAATCAGATATGGGCTAAACGGATTCGGATCAAATTCGAGTTTGTCTTAATCGGATTGGATTCAGATTTTGACAGATCTTATCCGAATCCGATCAATTTACAAACCTAAGTGAAGTGCACCATCAATGATTTTGTTCAAGTTAATAGCAAATATAAAATACGTGTCAGGTAAAAAGGGAGTTATGTGTTTATTTTCAAATGTCACAAGAGTAAATTGCATACGGAAAAAATCACAAAAGATTAAAATGAATTTTGCCTTCTAAAAGATTGATGAAAATATTCATGATTTGCAAAATAAAATAATTCAAGTATGAGGTATTTTAATATTTTGACGTAAGCTGTCAAGCTGCCTAATGGTGCAATGGAGAGAGTTATATGCTTAGGGAAATGCTATGGTAAAAGGTGTATACCATATATAAGTTATGTAATTTGTGGGTTTAATTATCACAATTAGTATAACTCGACATTATAAGAGTCATAATTAAAAAAAAAAAAAATTATAACCAAATATCACATCAGGTATAACAAAGAACTCTTATTATAACCAAAATTAATATTATAACAAATTATAATTAACAACACAATAAATTATAATTAAAAACACAAATATCATAATTAGAGATGCACAATTTACACAATCCATAAAATTTCCCATATGACTATATTCAAATCACATAGTTATGTGCACATAAATCAAATTATAATGGAAAGAAGTTAAATTTGACCTATATGTAATATATTACATTTTGTGGACTCCAATTAAGTTCCCATGTGGCAAAAATAAAGTTGTTATGCCGGGGTGATGTTATCGAAAGTCAACTCCAAATCTTTTAACAATTTCTGGTCATGTTTGATAACAGATAGGGTCATATGATCGGATATGATGGGATAGTCATCACGGTGCCAACCTAGTTGGAATGGTGCAAGATTATTGTGATGCTCTTTGCATACCCTCATATTTGTGGATGTAATATAGTTGTACTTTTACTCATCAATGGAATTTTCTTTGGCTGATCAAAAAAAAAAAAAAAAAGATAGGGTCATCAAATAGCTCGCAGACACAAAATAAAAATATCATAAATTTCAAAAATTTTATTAAAAATTTTATCAAATATCTTATATGAATTCATGTGAGATATTCGGTAAAATTTTTAGTATAATTTTTGAGATCTATAACATTACTCGACACAAAAATTCGAAACTATTCAACTTCATTTATTCATTTTATGGCCCGCTTAACACATTTGAGTATCCAGTTCATCTCAACTCATAAAAAATGATTTAGTATTTTAAACAAAGATTTGTAATCCGAGTTCGCCCATGAACCCGGCACGTAAGAGCCTGCATAAGTAAACCCATTCCAACCATTTCATTAGCCCAACTCAAATTATCCCGTCCAAAAAAAAAAAATTTTTTTGATATGTGGCCAAAAAAATCTACGCTATTCAATTCAAATTTAAATCATTAAAGTATATTAATAATTATATATATATATATATGTGTGTGTGTGTGTGTGAGAGATAATGTGCACTTTTGGGTTAATTTTTGTAATTTTATTTTGATGTGTTAATTTAAATTTGTGGGATTTTTTAGGGAGGTAGTACATGATCGAATTTGAGGTAGGAAAGTCCAACTTAGTTGGGTTTTCTAGCCTTCTGTGATGCTAGTCTTTCTGTCTTTTCTCCCACTTGTAGGTATTATAAATAAAATTTATCTTAATTAATTTTTTTATTATATAATGAGTAATTTATGAAATAGGTGAGAGCCAAAATGGCAATAATGCTTTTGAGAAGATGTGTATAGGCTTTTTGGCTTGTTTTAGAAGATGAATTTTTTTTTTTTTTTAAGAGAATTAGTAAACAGTAGGATAGAAAAAAAAAATTACACAAATATGATGGGTGCAAATCATCTTATGATGGTATAATTCAAATTTTGTGAGTGTGCGCAAGTGTGACTTGCACTCCCTATGTGTGTGTGACAAAATGATAAATTGACTTTTTCATTTGTTTCAATAAAAGACGGTTTCATTTGGCAGAGACGTAGAGGCCAATTTATTGGCTGAAAAAAAAAAAAAAAAAATCTAAGTTATTAATTTGGCAAATAAATTTTCTCTCTCTCTCTCTCTCTCTCTCTCTCTCTCTTTCTCTTTTCCCCTTCCCTCTGCTTCTCTCCCTCTCCCTCTCCCTGTTTCAGAGTCGAAAATGGAGAAAGAAAAAAAAAATCCCAAAACGACGTCGTTTTGGGGATTAGGGGGATTAGGGGGGGCCAAATTCGAGCTCTCAAACATTATTCTTATATAATATGTAAAAAGGTAAAAATAAAAATACTTTGATTATGTTGGAAAAAAAAAACTAATAAAAATATTAAAAATATGTGTATAAAAAATGTGTAGAACTTAACAATATAAGTTGAATGCAAAATGTGTAACCCAGATTGGTTTGATTTTGGCATGTGTGATTTGGACTTATGGGTGGAATGTGGTTTTAGTTTTTTAAATAGTCTCGGCCCATAATAGCCCATTGACTAATCAAAACCCGAAAAACCCAATAAATATATGGGATTTGAACACAATAGTTACGGTCTGGGTAAGGCCGACCCTTTCCATCGATGGCCTCTAATAACAGATTTGGCCAAATTAGTAATACAATTAGATTGTGAACAATGTTAGTAAGGGCTAGGCTTCTCTCAAGTCCAAGATCGGACTTCAAAGTGTTGTTGGGTCCATGGGGGCCCACCACGGATCTTGTTTTAATGATCTAAACTGTTCAAGGTGTAGAACTCATCAAGTACTTCATCCCTACAAAAAATCACGTTCATTAGATATCGATAGCCAATTAATCAAATCATATTTCTCTCAACGGTAAATATGATTTTCAAAGTAAATTGTTCATAGAAATCTGATCCGATCAACGTGGTTTTTTGCATGAATGAAATACTCGATAAGCTTTACACATTAAACGATTCGGATCATTGAAACAGGACCGTGGTGAGCCCCATGAGTCTAAACAACACGATCTAATCTACTATATGAACTAGAGAGAATCTGAGTCCGATTACTAATACTTAAGATAATAGATGAGACTAGTACATACTAACATTATGTTTACTTACAACAGGATATCAAATCAGATAAGATGACAGAATTCGCAGTCACAGTGATATAATTAAGAAGAAATTACCACTCAATGATAATTTGAAAAAACGTTATATATTTGTGAAATAGTTCACAATTTTAATTATTAATATTTATATATATTTTAGGGTGCTCACCAAAAGTCTAATTTTGAATTTTTATTGCTCAAAGATCCACACTCAGAATTACTTTATCCATAAGGATATGAGTTTGCACAATGACTAAATTACCCTCCATATATATACTTCCAGATCTTACTCTCAAACTCTCTCTCTCTCTCTCTCTCTCTAGAGTCTCTTTCTCTCTCCCTTTCTGCAGCGCCTCTCCCCTTCATCTCTGCCACAACTCCACCACCGCTTCCGCCACCTCACCACCTCCTAAGTTCAACCACCATGACTCTGCCACCACCACCGCCACTCTTTCTCTAGATCCGATTGGTCGGCTTCTCTCTCTCCGCTTAAGATCTACAGCCAATCCACAACCACTCTCACTTCGTCGGTGAACGCAAGCTCCGCTGTCTAGATCCACCCCCGTAGTGGTGCCTTCGTCGATCTCATATCTCAGATTTGCAAATTTCATTTCAAACCTAAATCCAAACCCTAGCCCGCAGTTGTTACACTTCGTGAAAACCTAGCAATATTTTCTTCTCCTCAATTCCTCATCTTCACCATAAAAAGCTGTATTTCTCAAACATTTTGACTCCTCTGATCGGTTTCTTCGAGGGCTCTTTAATTCCTCATTAAAAAAAATGGTCCACTCATCTACCTTTAGTTGGTTTCTATATGGAAATTTTGTGCATCATTGTGATTTTGATTTTATTTTGGTGTATGTAGATTGATTTCTGCAATTTTACACTTCTTTGGATTCTGCAATTTTTCCAAATCTACTCTTCTATTGGCCCTGTTTGGTGGAGTTTTTTTATGTTAAAAGTTGATAATCAGCAAGCAGAAGCTAAAAACACCCCTACCTTTGCTTCCAAATAATTAGCTTTTTTTCAGCTTATTTAAGCTATTTTTGCTTAATAAGCTATAAGTAGAAGCTGCACCAAATAGTCTGGCACAGATCCCAAATCAAAATAAGTTATAAACACCCCTCAAAAGCTGTAACAAACAGTCCCATTATGTTGCTATGTTGAATGTAATTTTGTGTGTGATGCAATGTGTACCAGAGAGGTATACCGTATAGATCTAGTTCGATACTACCTTAGATATGCCCTTATTTGCCTCATCTCATCTCTCCGGCGACAAGATCTTGCTGTTAAATTAGCTTCTTCTTGTTGTTGTTGTTGTTGATGATGATAAAATAGATAATTTTTTATTTTGTTTTTGTGTTGAAAAGATAAGAATAAGAGAGAGAGTGGGAGAAAAAAAAGATTTGATCAGATAGTTTTTTTTTTTTTTGGGATTAAAACAGATAGGTGTTGGTGTATGTATATCTGTGAGTCTATATATGTATATATGTGAGGGTGTGTATGTATGAGACAGATCTGCAAAAAA